CGATGGCTTATTTAGCGGCTGTGCCGGTTACAGTCGATGCTGAAGGCATGAAAAAGCTGTTTATCGACCGTGTGATTCGATAACATGGTTTGCCTATGGCAATTGTCTCTGATAGAGATCCCCGCTTCACGGAATTTTTTTTTCTAAGTCTATATTCAAGGTGCTCGGCACCCGAATAGACATGTCCACGGCGGGTCATCCGCAGGCCGATGGTGAAATTGAGCGTGTTAATCGCGTCATTAATGACATTTTGCGCAGTTTTTGCGCTGATACACCACGGCGTTGGACCCAATTCTCCCTCTTGTTGAATTTTGTATTGAGCAACGCTGTTCATGCCTACACATGCTTCACTCCGTTTTACGTAAACGTTCTCACCCACCCTCGCGTTACGTTAACGCAACCACTCTGTGGATCAGGGCTTGGTGGGGAGGGGTTTTTGATAGGCTTGCTGATATCAGCCCTACTACTGTTCAAAAACAGGTAGGTGAGTTTCTCGCTACGCGATTGAATGTCTTAAGACATTTGTGTGACGCAATGGCTAATAGCCAAAATTAACAAAAGCAACAAGCTGATGCCAAAGGCAGAAATTGCATTGAAAGTTACAAGGTCTTAGACCAAGTGTTACTCAATGCCAAAAACATACCTACAAATGTAGTGTTTGCTGTCTTCAATACAAATTTGCGTCCACGCTTCATGGGACCCTTGACGGTCACTGCCAATAAGGGCCTTGTGTGTACGATCAATCTTCCACGCAAGTTGTGCACACAACCTGTTTCTACGTAGGAAACTTAAGCTGTACCGGGATCCTTCCCATTTGAACTTTGAGGCGCTGGCGCCGAAGAAGAGGGCGGTGCCTTGGATTGCTGCAAGCGAATCAGCACATTCAGCTCAGCCTCGCTCCGAGTTTGATCATGCTCCATCGACTGAAGGCGGCTCTGCATCCAATTCAGCATGCATTGGTTCTTCCCTAGGTTCTCTTGAATACCCTTTACTTCGAGACCCAATTTCTCGTGGACTCCCACCAGTACACCAGCCGCGACCGACGCTGCTCAATGAGGAAGGGTGTCGTCAGTTTCCCGTCGAGAGCCTACTAAAACGACGTCGTCATCATGGCCACTACATGTATTTGGGAAAGTGGTTTAGGCACCCTGAGTCTGAGAACTCGTAGGAATACGATGTACCCCTACTGCAAGAATGCCCTTATGCGTCGGATGCATTTAAAGATCGTGGCCAAGGTCATCTTGAGACCGAGGCCGTTTCCCACCACTAGTGGTGCGGGTTGGCAGGTTGGTGATCATAGTTTGACCAACACTCGCGGCTACCGTAGTATCCAAAGCACATCGCGTGGGATTATGCAACTTCAAATAAAGGTCTAAAAGCAGTACTTCTAATTTCCGATGAATTTGTAAATTGGCCTTTAGCCTTAAGCTTAGCATAGTCGTACCGAAGCTTGCGTTCGAGGCGCACATCAGCCACATTGGTACTAGCTCTCAGAACAGACATACTGCAGAGGCGACGTATGCGGTGCACCCAGCAGACGAAGCATTGTCTTCTCGCTCTCTTTTTCGCCTGAAAACGAGAGAATGGGTGCACCCTTATTTGGTGGGACCGGTGCACCACGTGCTTGCATGTCAAGGCGTGCCTTGTATTGACCTTGGGTCGTTAGGTGAGACTCAACGTACCTCTCGCGAAGTGCCTGTCCGCTCACCACCTCCTCGGGAGACTTAGGACCTTGGCGAATGACCCACGTTGCCAACGTTTGGCCTGTTATTTTACGTAAACATTCTTCTATCCTGGATCAAGTGATCACATAGGCACGTTGGTGCTCGAGGGTTGCAACCATTTGCGCATGGCGCTGAGTGCTTCCTCCTTGTTACAGGATTATTTGTTGTTTTTCATCGAGCTGGTTCGTGATGATTGTATTATCCAAAGCGGGTGTTGAGAGAGGCTCTAATAGTGAATTCTCATTATCAAGTTCAGGAAACGGACAAGGGGCAGTACGAAGTTGTACCTCAGACATGGGTGTACCGGAAATTGTCCCTGCATCACCCGGGACACTGGTATCGCTACCATCGTCCAAAACCTATCCCATTTCGAGTTAAACACTAAGAGTCTTTGACTCGTTAGGTGATGAGAACATCATGCTAGAATCTATAAGTAACCGTAATGATCCACAAGCGCAATGACCTCGTAAAAGAACAAAGTTCGATGAGTACGTTCGATTGAGACGAGGTCCGATTGGGACGAGGTCCGATTGGGACGAGGATCAATTGACCGTTAGGAAAACGTCATTCTGATGGGGGAGGGTGCAACGGAGTCACACGTAGTTCGGTACCTGGTGTACCCTGTGTCTTAAACACACGGATGATACCACTGAAAGAGATATAGAATATCTTGTCGGTTTGCAGGGGCTGACTGGTGCCAGCCACCAGATAGGAGAGATCTTAGTTCTACTTACTTAGGTTAAGGTATTCTATAGGTGTAAATGTAAATAAATTTCAGTTCCCCTTTTGATCTTAAAGACACGTGCCTCGCGAGTCGTCTTTGGTCGTTAAACGATGACAACTAAGAGTTAGCAAAACACCTCCCTGAGGTAGCTAGCTACTCTTGAGCACTACATTCTGTCAATTCATTGAATCGTTTGGTCCCCTGGAACAAGGACCATAAACTTTACGCTGGTTGACTCATTGAGTCTATTTCTTTAGAACTAAGTTGCTCGTTGAGCGTTGAGTCTTCCTCTGACTTATGGAGCTGCATAAATCCGATACACTAGTCCTACACTTCACGCCCTGCGCGAACGTTGATCCGCGGACTTAGCCATTCCGCGGTGCTCGCGTCCACGCCTGTCTCGAATTACTCATCTAAAAGCTACTGTAAGAATTGGCGTCACCGACAGTTAGACACGGCAAGATACCCTATTTGTAACGGGGTAGCCCGTTACATGATATTGACATCAAACGGTTTCAATAGGGAGATTCTCTAGCGTGACAATGTCTGGCCAATATTATTCGAGATAGGTAAAATTGAGGGAGTATTATCCCATTAGGATAATATTCATGCGCTGATCAAAGATTGGTTAGCAAAAGACATACCAACCAATGTTGCTATCAATCGCTGCTAAACACGCGTAATGAGTGGTGAGCAGGTTTTCGTCATACGACAATGTAGATTAATGTAGTTAGATAAAGACTAAAGTTATATTGATAGCTTAACTAGATAAACACAGTTCTATTATTACCTATTACATGAACCAGCTGTTTGACTAGATAAGCTTACTCTTCACGTACTAGTGTATGTGAAGCTTCGTGGCACTCCAAACAAATCGTGCCCCGTTGATATATCCGGAGTTTGTACCATGGCTTAGGACCTTTTTACATCTTGCTTATGTTTACTGTGCATTGACGATTATGAATGTCTGCCTTTTATTCCTACACTTTTTAAAAAGTACGATTATACCTCAGTAAATTCGAGATTCCTGTACATTTTGCCTCCACACTTATCAGACCCAGGAAACCTTTTCTATAACGACTTCATGGAAAACTATAGTTGGTCTTCTTCGAACCCCCATCTAGCAGAAGCATGTAACACTCTAGATCTCGCAAAATAATCTAGATCCGCGTTCGTATCTGAGATTGGTTTTTCTTTTGCTATGCAAAGTCGTGTATCTGGAGTCATCCTTAAAATTTAAGGAATGTGTGGCCGCGATGTGCGCAGGGAGGACGTTTTGAATCCGTTCATCTGCAGAACGAGCTTGTAGAAATATTGAGCAAAACAAGTGGGCTGTACTTATGTGTTTGTCCTTCTATTACAATAAGAAACCTAGACCATAATGCTTGGCATCATGTGTGAGAGTGCGCCGTACTCTCGCCAGCTTGCTTAGTTATGCTCAACACGTGTACATGGAATTAGTGCGATCGGCAGCGGTCGGGCTGAAATTTCCATCTAATTTTGAACGTGGATCATTTCGCCACTACCTTTGTCATTGCGAAGGAGATAATTATGGCGTGAGTGCTCATATTCTTAATGCCGATTGCGACATTTAAGATCGTACTTGTAAACTTTGTGTAGCGGAGCTACTTAGTGCTCCTTCACAGAGGAATTCTTCGACTCAAAGAATCTCTTAGTTATCACAAACTAACAACGACGTACATTCGTTCAAGCGGAAAAGCTCAACAATCCCGATGACATGAGATTTCTATTCACAGAATCACACACTAACTGGAAGCTACTAGTTAAACAAAAAGTTAACGCCATGACAAGGCCAATGTTCTTATCAATGCACTACGCCTTGACTAGGCACTTGTGTCGAACGATTCAAAAGGGGAACTGAACTTTATTTATTCTTTATCTACGGTGATATAACCATAATACCTTGTCTGATGTCTACATTGCGATCCTATGACGAAGTCTGATCCCTACCCGATTAGGTGCGGTATTATCGCACGTACATGGTACTAAGACTAAACCACTCAGATCCACCGATATCTACTTGGTGTGGACACACAACATAATCGGTTCAATCACCGCCGTGTAACCACGTTACAGTGACAGTGCCGATGAGGTGACGATTAGACCATCCTAGGCTCTAGACTGTTGTCTCCGTCTGTCATCGATTTTTTTTCTTTGCAGCACGACAGTGACTAATTGACCAAGAAGCTGGCAAGTACCACCGAGCACGTTAGAAAGCGTGCTCAATGCGAAAGACTCTAGTGTACCATGGATGCATTTTTGGAATGGGTTCAATTTGACCCTCCTTTTAAAAATGTTTTGTAACAGGAACGAGGCAAACATGCCACATATGCTGGTCCGACATTTGGTGTACGACTGTAGCAAATTCTCATTCGTGCATCAGCAGTGTATTCGTCCGCTTTGCGCTCACAAAAGGATAGAGTAAGACCAAATATAACAACGGTGCAGTGTACGGAAATGTAAATGATGCTTATCAAACGACGACAGCCTTACTTCGTTGACCGATCCAGGTACAACACGCTCAGCACAGCTCAGCCCAGCAGGCCCGTGATAACTGCTTCCATGTTACCTTCGTGCTGCGACAGCAGAGCCAAGTTGCGCATCTCGTCCGTGAAGCCCATGCTCACCAGAACCTGAAGCTCGTTTGACCATCGAAGGACCTCCTTTGTCTCGGTTTTGACCACAACGGGCGCCGGAGCAGTTGAAACTTCAACCCCTGTCAAAATGACCGCCGCGGAAGCGTCATCAACATGAACCTCTGCCGCGTCGGTGACACTGGGCGCCAGCTCTTCTGGGTCCATCACATTGATGTCCACCCAAAGGCGCTGCCCAAAGCGGTTTCCATCAGGCGTGCTTAGCCGCCAGTAACCAGTATAACGACCAGCCTTTGCCGGGGCCACCATGCGCAACGACACATCAATCGATTTACCGGGTAATACTGACGGAATCAGCACGCTCTCAGGAGCTTGCATCTTGTCACCGCCTACACACGAAAGCACAGCTCCTACAGGCCACTTGGTAGAGCCCCCATTGCGCAGTTTCCACACCTTGTCAAAAGCCTCTCCTGACGAAAGAATCGTACCATCTGGGCAAGTGACATCGCCCTCAAAAACCGCCACAACCGGTCCTAGATCCTGTTTAGTCTCTTCCATCGTAATCGTCTCAAAGTAGTCGCTCACCGACATGAGCTGCGCGTTATGACTGTACTGCACTTGCTGCAGCACTCGCTCCACCTGCACACGGGCATTTGGGCACTTGGCCAGCAGGATCTTAGCAACCTCTTCCAGGTCTCCAGTACCAGCAACTGCTACTAGACACTCGGTAAAATTGCCATTCTTCTGGCACTCCTCCGTCACCGTCTGAAAGAGCGTTGCAAACTACCCACAACCATCAGTCAGTCAGTCAACAGTAAGACAAACCCTGCAGATACCCTCTTTTTCACCCGACTTTGCTCCACACAGTACACACTTACCTTTGCATTGGCCATAATCTCCAGCAACGCTTCTTGACATCCAGGTTCGTGCAGCAACGACACCAAGTCTCTCTTCAGCGTCTCGTGCTCACCATGTGCACTCCACTGCTCGACGACTTTTCCAAGATCCACAAACAGATCCGACATCTGTTTCGTCTGTTGACTTGCCAGCATCTCGCCCGTGTCCCGAGGCACAGCAGCACCCACAGCGTGATCGCTACTGCAGAGTCGCTGACCCTCCACAGCTTCCTCATCCATCTCCATCTCCCGCATTGTAGCCACGACAATGATCTTGCACACGGCGCTGCCAGCGTCCATCCCGGCTGCAACAGCCAGTTCCCGCATCAGACGAAACGCTTCATCCAGCTCCACGTCGTTCGTGATACGCACTTGTTCCTGGTCGTCGTCAATGTAGTAGAGACGTATCTCGCACAGCGGCACCTTGAGCTCGGGGAAGATCCAGAGCACGTAGTCGCGCAAGTCGCAGAAGCTCAAGTGCTCCGTATTGATGCCGGCAGAAGAGCGGCCGTGCAGCGACGCGAGCGTCTGGTGCACAGCCAAGACCTGCACGCGACGCATGTCCTTCTTCGCTGCCCACGAGATCTTGAGCGTCGTCATGGGGATGCAGATAGACCTTAAACACAAAGGCAGATAAACCTTAAACACAGGGGCGGCAAAGTCCTTCTCTTCAGTGCGTCAGTTCTTCTTCTTTGAGGACGAAAAAGTGCTTGTGCGGAGTGCGAGAGAGAGAGAGACGTGTGTGGATGGATAAAGAGCATGTGATAGGCTGTACGATAGGTTCTTCGGATGCTTGGAAACGTCGCGGTGGGTATGAAAAAGACGAGTTCTACAGCCGTGTCGCAACTTTGTGGTTGTCGTTAAGTGCTAGACTGCTTTGATGACCGTTAAATTGCGTTTTAGGTTTTTATCATGCTGATGCGATGCAGGTTAATGGCGATTGTTATATCAGCGATACTGTTGAGTTTCGTTGTTGACAAAAAGCGCGACATGGTAGCCTAAATAAAAAGGGGTCTGTGACGCACACTGTCGACGTTGGTATGGTAAACCATTTGTAAATGCATTGTCTTTTGCAGATTGATGGTAAGTGTATCCTGATCTGTTTGTGGCTAGGAAGCTTGGAGATGGTGGACTCTGTTGTTAGTTGTTTGAATGACGAACTGGCTCCACGATTATTCACAAGGAGACGACTTGTGGCGATGTCACTCTTCGTTCTCAGCCCGTGTATTTTCGCTCATATTTTCACAGAAATGATTTCTATTGTTCAAGTCTATCATATAGGTCCTTCCGGTACGGAAGTTTGTCGCGCACGTGCTCTCCTACACTGGTAGCAGAAAGTGCTTGACTTGCAAGCTTCAGAAAGACTGTGTCATGATAAATTACACTGCCGTACCTCGCTAGCTAAAGCTGCCCGTTGACCAAGCTGTTCTCCTTACCGGAGCCAACCCATCGATCAACTCCAGACGAAAGTCCCGTGATACAACTAGAACCGCGATGTGGGAAACACGACAAGCGTATACGTGCTCGTGTACAAGAAACGGACTACCGCGATCATGGTGGCAGCAATACGTGATTTCCCGATCATTTTGGGGCATTTGCAAGGGTGACGTCAAAGTAGAACAAGCTTACACTCAGCTTCACTGTTGTCCCGCGAGACACATACCAGCACGCACAGATAGGCCGATCAAGTAGACGGAGGGTCCTATTTACCGTTGACGATTAACTTCTCTGTTTGAGGGAAGTGGCGTTTGGGTTCATTCAAGATTTTACTGGTAATTCATGTCAGACGGATCGACATGATGTATGTTTGCCTTTGAGATCCCGCTTCACGAGGTTCATCATCCGACAGGACGAGGCATCCGTCACAATTGGACGATTAACAGCAAGTTGTAAATCGATCATAATCGTGTCGTCGAAGCGGTTTCCGGCCCAAGGTTGCTTGTTCTTTCCGTAGCAAATGAAACGTCCGATGAATACGAGAGTCAAACGCGGAAAAAGTCTACCAGTCACCCGGCTGAGCCGGAGATTCGATGTGAAGTCTAAAAAACTGCAAGCCGACACAATTCGTGACGAGGTACAAGGTGTTTGAACTGTACACGATTAAGTTCCGATACATGGTCGCCCTATAGCTTTAAGGTCCAGCTTACGGTGAATCTAAGTACGATCAATGTCGGTAAGAGGCTATACGCTAGCATTGAATCGGTTCTTTATGTTCGACACATCGGCGTACGTTGATGTCGAGTTCATCATTAAGTAGGCAGTCGATCAGTTACGTACATAAAAGCTCAGCGGGAGTTTGCGTGCTCTATTTATGGAAATTTTGAACACACTAACATGAGCACTCAGATGTATGGGGACGCCGATCACGGCAACAAAGCTGACCAACGCCAAGATGATCTTGACAATTGAAACATGTCCCGAAAGAGCAAACCTGGAGGGCCGCATTTTTCTTAGCGACCGAGTTGACTGGACTGTCCACGACATCGACTCAGAGACTTCAACGCGTACAATCTACCGGCCTTCTGATCTCGATAAACGGTGCGAACATCTTTGTCCACCTACCGCTCGCCTTGCAAGCTTCGCAAAAGTCAATATCACGGACTACCGTCGATTTGTAGCGTATGCCCACAATCGGACCCATACCACATCCGTCGCACTTAACACGTCGGTGAACCGCAATTCCAGAGGTACATTTGGATGTTGGCGCGCGCGACGAATCCTTGATCTTGATAAACGGTTCGCGGCTCACCCATTTGCCACCGGCTTCACAGTCTCCACAGACATCAAAATTCGGCTCTTCGAGAGACTGGCAGCGAACACCCAAGATTGGCACTTGCTGGCAACCATCGCACATGATTCCACAATGCACCGGTATGTCTCGAAAATCAACCATCTGATCTTCTTCGCCAGAGCCACTGCTGGCTTTAGGCAATTTTAGCCTATCAACAGCCGCCCTTTCATTGCCCAGGCGGACAAGGCTTGTTATACACTGTTTGACACCTTGCACCAGCAAAGGCTTGAACGCTGGGCAGCGAGACACAACACGCTGAAGGAACAAAAGAGCCCACCAAAGTTAGCCGTGGTCGCCTCTACTACCGCGTGAGCATCGCCTTGGGAAACGGCCGTCTCCACGACGTCCACCAAGTGCATAAACTCGTCACAAGCACACAAGTCTTCTGCGACCTTTGTGACCTCTTCACCTTGCAGTGCCGCGAGCAGGTCCTTCTTGACTTGGATCAGTTCCACAAGATTTTCTGACAATTTATCGTCTCCAGACGATCCGCTAATAGCTTCGTTGCGTTAACTGGCATAGATTTCTTGGCGTCCATATCTTTTGTCGCCTTCACGATGCTCAGCAGATGCTTCGGTGCCGCATTCTTTGACGCAGATCCAACCCGCGCGACCAGCACCGTAACTCGCTCCAGCCCCTCTTCAACCATGTAGTCAACCAGTTCCTTCACATCCGCATCACTAGCAACTGTCACGGCGTCACCGTCGGAGTCCGTGTAGTGCACCGTTATTGCATCATCGCTGGCCAGTAACGCAGCCGTTGCTGACTTCAACGTAGCCATTTGCAGCTGCTCGCCGATCTCAGATGACAGCGACAGTGGCATTCGCTTGCCGTCGTCTCGTGATAGCCGAATTGACGCTGACATTTGTCCTCACGCAGTTTTGTGCGTCCTAGTCAATGTGAGCAGGACCGAAGAATTTGAGAAATGAAGGTGGCTGGACCAGGGCTGAAAAAACGATCGGGGTTTTGATTTTTTTACAATCAACTTGAGTTTAAGCTAAAAACAAACATGGTTTTATTCGGCTCGATGAGCGGGCGCCTACTGAGAAGAAAGATTGCCGGAATCGTCGAGCTCCTCGTGCACGTCGTCGTAAAAATTCGGCGACTTGCTCTTGACGAACGTCATTTCGTCGACGTGTTTTGGGTTGAAACAGTTCCCCATGGTTGAGTGCATACATCCAAATGTCATGGAGTTTCTCTCAGAGGCGGCAGTCGACGTCGTCAACCTGGAAATGTTGATAGCAATCTAGCGCAGATCAGACCACAACTTGACATCGCCCAACCATTCTGAAACATGGTCTTTGTGCCATAGTCTAGCATCTTGAATTGCGTCGAGTCCTCCATCTTCTCTTGTTCGGCCACAATCACGAACTCGGTCCACTAAATGATAATGGTCTGCGCTCGTTTTTTACCGGATGAATCACAGGGCTCAGCATCGACAGAAAAATTTTATAGGAATTCCTCCAGCTGTTGCGACTGCCCCTCGGTCGTTTCTCTCCGATATGGCAGCGTCATTGAGGAGCTCATCAAACAGGCTTTGAAAAACGACGATAGCGACATTGTAGTAAGTACGACTTGAAGGTGCTAATATTAATCGGGGAAAAAATAGGTGCAGTAGAGTGTCCATAATAATATGTTTTTTGATTTTTTTTATCTCCTTTACTTAATAATAATGTCGAGTCTCGTGTTGAACCCAGGCCGAAAATAAAAACTCTCTTAATTTGTATCAGCAAAGCTGGAAATTCTGTTCCGCCATTCATTATTAATCTACTGCCGGGGTGTAACGGGGTGAATCGTTACATAACAATTTATAAGAAATAGTTAATTGAATATAACTATAAGAGTTATATTCTCAGAATATTGTCATAAGGACAAATCTTCTGTAGCACTTACGAGTAGTTCCTAATTGGTTGATATAGGCCATTATATCAACCAACGAAGGCGCGCCACGACAGACGCACGCAATGAGTGGTGAGCAGATAATTGATTTACACATTTGTATTTAGACATAGTTAGATGAAGATAAATAGTGATTTATTGCAGACATTAACTATACTAAATACAGTTCTACTTTTTACTTTGACCAAGTACTCGCTTCTTCTTACCGTCTTCCTCTGCACGTACGAGTGTACGTGAATCTCCGAGGCACCGCCTTATTCTGTCATCAGAACAAGTAGCTTGTACTGTCATCAGTACAAGCTTCAGGGTGCCCAGTTACACCTGGTAGCACATTCGTAGTCCGTCCAAGGACCGCGTTCACATCCAACATGAATATGTTGGATGATGAAGATGACCAAAGCTTTCACGCTACGCGTGACGGCTACTCCCATTTGAGCGATGTCGAATGGGATGCGGTTGAACGGATGGGTTCAACCATGGGCATCCATGCTGTTAGCGTCATGCTAGATGCTCTCAATAGAGATGCCCAAAATGCTACTATCGCCAAGTTCATTCAAAATGAACTTGACGCTGAACGCGAGAAAGTAGCCTTGCTTCGCCAACAAGGTTCTCAACAAGCAGAGTTGTTGAGAGAACAGGGTGCTCAACAGTTTGAACTGTTGAGACAGCAGCAGGCTGCTGCTGGCGGGTCGATGCACTCGCGTCGACCCGAGACCTTGAATATTGACATCTCCAAGTATAGGGGAGTCGAAGAGGACTCCCTCTTGAGATGGTTCGTCGAATTGGATGACGCCATAAGGGCGCGTCGCATCGACTACGGGGATATGCAAGTTGCATTTGCCCAATCAAATCTGGCAGGACGTGCCAAGACTTGGGCTTTGGGGCTCAAGTTGCACGACCCATATGCGTTTGGGTCGTTGGAAGTCTTCAAGTCGCGGCTCAGACAAACGTTTGAACCGCCTAGAGCTGAGTTCAGAGCTCGAACTGAACTCTTGAAGCTCAAGCAAGGTAAGCGTGATGTGCACGCTTACGCGCAACATATACGACATCTCACGAGTTGTATAAGTTCCAACCCGGTTGATGAACACACTTTGGTTTCGGTGTTCATGCAGGGTCTTGCGGATGGTCCCGTCAATAATCACCTGTTCCGACTTGAGCTAGATTCACTAGAACAAGCTATTTCCATTGCGGAACAGAAGACTTCAGTCTGAGACAGGCTCGCGCCAGCTCGACATCATATCGTCCACCGAGACGACATGACAGCGGAAGTCCAGAGCCGATGGAACTCTGTTACGTAGAGAGCGAGAAGGCTCGCTCTACAGACTGCAAGAAGTTGCAGAAATGCAACAGATGTCAAAAGACAGGACACTACGCTTACGAGTGTAGTGCCCCTCGTCCAGTGTCTCGCAACACTGGGCATAGTGACCGTTCACCCATGAGAAAGGGGCAGTGACGAGAGTCCGCCGTTGGTGCAAAGACGCAACAACGGGATGGACCGTCAAAAAAACGGACAGGATCAGTAGGTGTGGAGCACCCTACTGGTCCAGCAAACTCAAGAGAATTTGTAGGCCTCTTGATGAAGGTTGCTCCCAACACACAAACGTTGTGCGTTGCTGCTCCAGGTAATGAAATCTCACTCATTACCTTGAAACTCGAAGTAATGAATAAGTTGTCCCTTCGAGCTCTAGTCGATTGTGGGGCGTCTAACAATTTTGTGCGACGCCAATCGCTAGAAGATGGTCATTTTAAGTTCAGTGAACGTGGCACACCTCCTACGAGGATGACGGTACGTCTTGCGACAGGCGCATCCGTAACCGTCATGAAGCGTATAGTGAGGATCCACTATACGCTAGAAGATACCCAATATGACGATGACTTTATCGTATTAGATTTGGATGACAAATTTGATGTCATCCTTGGAATACCGTGGCTCAGAGGGTACGAACCACGGGTAAACTGGCAACATCGAACAGTAACGATGCCTGCCGCTTGTTCATCAGATGGCCATCTGATGAACATTTTGGAGCGTCCACAAGCGTGTGGATGTACTACGAGTGAGTGTGATGGCCTCACTTGTGGTACGGTTGTTAATACGACCGCACAAAACCTTAGTGTACCAAACGGTTACACTTCGGAGCAAAGTTCCGGCGGCTGTGAGGAAACACAGGCTACGCCGAAGGTCCAGCACTCGAATAAGTCGAGTAGACCGGGACAAAGATGTATCCCTAGCGGGGAACATCTAGAAGAGAAACAATCGATCGCTCAGGTTAAGCGAAACGATAATCCTAGATCGACTGGAGAGTCTTTCGTAGAGGATCTCGATGTGGTTGCGCAACCCCAGCTAGAGGAAGTAAAGGGAATAAGTCCCAAGATTACAAATACGGCGGAAATAAGTTCCCCGAAACCCGCGGGAATAAGTCCCCGGAAAGACGAAGGAATAAGTCCTTCGAGGCCTGAGGGAATTAGTCCCCAGGAATTGACAGAGACATTGAATGTCATAGTCAATAACGGATCAAGTGTAGGCGCTTATACACTTGATCTGATTGCGCCTCCGAAGTTGACTTCGGAGATCACTCAGTTGCCAACGCTCGAACATAAAAGGTTCTTGCGTGATCTGCGTAGTGGCAAAGTCAAGCAGATCTGCGTGCTCGTCGCTGACGACGAGTGTGTAGCCGACATAAGGTCAGCAACAGTGTTTACTGAGAACGAGAGAGTTCTCAGTAGTTCATCTATGGACGAGAGTGTCCTAGATGAAAAGACACGAATTGAGCGATATGAGTCCCAATCATGGGAATCGCTCAAGGAAAATCCTCTCTATGAAGATTTGGTTGAATTCAAGGATGTATTCCCTGAAACTGTTCCGTGCGAATTACCGAAGGATAAAGGTATTCGACACGAAGTCGAGCTTAAACCAGGCTCGAAGTACTGTGTCATGAAGCAGTGGCCACTGCCTCGTGAACAAGTACTTGCGATCGACAAGTTCTTTGCCGATCGTTTAGCTGCGGGCCATGTGAGGGAATCAACTTCCCCACATAGCTCTCCAAACTTCTGTGTGCGAAAAGCAACAAGAGGGTGGCGGATAGTGCACGCGTTCAACAAATTGAATACTGCAACGGTACCGGCTCAGACGCCGATACCAAGGAAGGACGTAATCATTGATGGCATGTCAAAGAGTACCATCTTTTTGTCCACGGATTTGATGGATGGCTTCTATCAAATCCTTATGCGAGAAAGGGATTTACCCTATACCGCAGTAAGCACGCCTAGCGGCATGCTCTGGGAATGGCTAGTAATGCCACAAGGGCTTAGTAATGCCCCTACCACGTTCAACAGATGCGTATCACATCTGTTGAGACCAGTACGAGAATTCGCGCCGAGTTATTTCGATGACGTATTCATCCACAGTCGGGCTATGGATGGAAAGTCGGACGTTGAGGTTCACAGGTACCACGTCCGACAGGTTCTTGCAATCATGCGAAAGCATCAGTTGTATGCCAACCTCAAGAAGTGTACATTTGCAGCAAGCGAAGTACCACTTCTTGGGTGTATCGATGGTAAGAACGGTGTACGTCCTGATCCCGAAAAGATCAAGGCGATCACCGACTGGCCTGTGCCGGTTGATGTCAAAGGTCTTCAAAAATTCCTTGGGCTAGCGGCGTATTTGCATAAGTATTCACGCAATTACGCCGAAATGACTGTGCACCTCTCTCGTTTGTTGAAAAAGAACGAGAGGTGGTTATGGAACGCTGAATGTCAGCGCTCCTTTGATGGTATCAAGCAGAGCTTGATACAATCCCCAGTCCTAGCAATAGCCGATCAGGACAGGCCATTTCATGTGGTCTGTGATGCCATTGATTTCGCAATCGGCTGTGCATTAATGCAGTGCGACCTAGAAGGCGTTTAACGCGTCGTCTGCTATCAGTCGCGTCAGCTGCAACCAGCTGAGCGGAACTATCCAGTGCATGACAAGGAACTCCTTGCTATGAAGTATGCACTCGCGAAGTTCAGAGTCTATCTATTAGGAGATAGACCCTTCACTGTTTACACTGACCATGCGTCATTACGCACGGCAGTGAACAGCCCGCACCTTTCACGACGAATGGCGCGGTGGTTGTCATTCTTTGCAGAATACAACTTTACGGTTGCGTACAATCCAGGACGACTTACTGTCGTCGCTGATGCACTCCCACGTCGGCCCGACTTTGAGCCAGTCGTGAAACCCAACATTGAGACAGTCAGTACTGCGGTTATGACGTCCTCAGTCCCATCTTCAACGTTGAATGATGATGTGAGGCGGGCATACGCCCAAGATGGTGAGATTGTGAAGTTGTTGACACATCTCTCACAGCCATCTCGAGAATCGTTGAAACGATTGTCGCCTGCGTATCGATCTGCATCAGATCGATACTCTACTCGCAACGGTTTACTGCATTATACAGCCGTTTCTGGTGACACACCACGTGTTGTCATTCCAGATGATACTGATCTGCGTTTGCGGATCATGTTCGAGTATCACGATGCTCCTATAGGAGGACATCGTGGCCGGGAGAAAACATATCTCACGGTGAGTCGAGACTTTTACTGGCCCCGCCAGTATCAGTTTGTGCGAAAGTATGTTCGCGCATGCGAAGTCTGTCAACGAGTGAAGTCAAGTCCTTCACTGCGTGCACCTTTACAGCCTCTACCGGTTCCGGCTGAGTGCTGGGAACCCATCTCAATGGATTTCGTCTTCGGGTTACCCAAAGACGCACGCGGGAATACGGGTATCCTCGTATTTGTTGACAGATTCAGCATAATGGTGCACCTTGTGGCTGTGCCCGAGTAAATCACAGCAAGTGGCTGTGCTTGTGTCTTTATCGACACCATCTTACGACTTCATAAGTCGCCCCGTGAACTCGTATCAGACAGAGATCCACGATTCACTGCTGATTTCTGGTGTTCCGTGTTCAAATCAGTCGGAACGCGCTAGAAGATGTCGACATCTGATCATCCAGAGTCAGATGGTCAAACGGAACGAGCCAATCGTGTCCTAGAAGAGATACTTCGCCAATACGCACACTCCTTTAAGAGTTGGAGTGAGTTTTTGCCAATGGTAGAGTTTGCCATTAACAACTCGGTGCATGCTTCCACGACACATACACCGTTTTACGTGAATGGCTTGCGCCATCCGTGTGTACCCACCTTACTGGAGTGTAACTCTGGTTTAAGGGGGGGAGAGACTCGCGCGAGCGAAAACCGATTTGGCTCACGCTCAACACGCTCTGACGAAGAGGTCATTGCGTTTGATGCCGATATCGATAACATCGATATCGAAGAAGATGATGCCAGTGAGAGCGCGGAAGCCCTCACTGAAGAAAAGGTTGATATCGCTGCAGTGCACTCACAGCGCACTGAAGACAACACGATATCGAAGAAGATGATGTCAGTGAGAGCGCGGAAGCCCTCACTGAAGAAAAGATTGATATCGCTGCAGTGCACTCACAGCGCACTGAAGCTAACGAGTCATCAGATGAATTCATACTGGCTCGTGAAACGGTAGTCCGTTTTATGCAAGACTCCATCGCCGAAGCGTTGGATAAGCAAAAGCAAAATGCTGACAAGAATGGAAGGGCAAACACTCTTTTATTTAATAAAGGTGACTTAGTCCTACTGTCTACGGTTAATCTACCAAAGCATGTAGTGACCAACTTGGGTAGTAGTAAACTACCACCCAAGTACATCGGCCCATTTTGTGCATTGCATCGCCCAGGCAATGCGTACACGATCCACTTGCCACGTAAGATGCGAACGCATCCCACGTTTTACGTTGGTTGACTTAAGCCGTACCAACAGTACGCTTCTTCTTCCGATGATGAACGCCCTTGCGCTCAAGCATCTCACAGAGAGCCTTGGGCTCCCGATGGTGGCCATCGACAAGGGTCTGAAGAGCAGTTATCTCAGCCCGAGACCGGTCAATATTCCCACGATCTACCCTTAGCTCGTCACGAAGAGATGTCAGAGATCTCTCGTTCTCAAGCTGAGCAAAGGCAAACTCAGCTCGATGCTTCAAGACAGTGTCCGCCAGTTGAAGACGCCTGTCCCGCTCATGTCTAAGATCGCCGCGTAACCCTTGCGTTACGCGATCAAAGAAGCTCTCGAGAACACACGGATCCACATGATCGTGTGGAGAGCGTCTTTCCTCCTCCTCCACCTCCATTAGAGGACTCTCGCGGTGACCAGCGCTATCTGGTTGAGCAGCTGTTGAACCACCGCGACGTGAAAGGATGTCGGACGAGTTACCTCGTCCGGTGGCGCGGCTATCCCCCGTCCTGGGATACTTGGGAGCCCCGCTCTCAACTGATGATTGACGTACTGGGTCTGGTCGAGCAGTACGACGGGGCACATCCTGTGCCGCAGAAGGACCGCCGGAGAAAGTCTCCCCGGCACGGTCGTAAAGGGATTTCAGGTTGTCAATCCCTTCGTACATCTCAGTAGAGATACGTACGCGCCACCACGGGCTAGTAAGGAGGTGAGTCTCCTTAGGTGCGCGCGCAGAGTTATTCACACAACAAGGGCACGGAACTCCCCATGAGAGCCAGGGTCATCCTTTCTCCCTTGACAGACGATGCAGCTTGTAGCGTGCACCTGTCAGGGTTCGCTTTTCAAACTTATCACGAGCTTTGATAAGTTTGTCGTTCCAAACGTCACGACCTATATCCTCAAGGTTATGGATGTAGGCGTTCCAAGCTTGAAGCAGTGAGGGACCATCACGCTTGTGATCACTACTGTACCATCGATGCTCAAAGAAAGCATCGATGAAGAGTTTATGCTCAGTGTGATAGTTTTTCCCACTGGGGTCAAGGTGATGGATCCTTGACAAATCGAACAATCGTGTTCGATAACGATTCATCGTCGTCGCCAACAAGTGATCCATGACCGACTTTGGAGGCAGCCATGCCTTCTTCTCGGTAGCGAGAAGCAGCACACTGCGGTCCCTCTCTTCCTGCGACGTGCCGACAGAAGGACTGGCACCTTGTTGCGAAGTGGTGTCCATACGGGAACCGACACCACTGTGAGCGCCCGAGTCTTGCGACCTCGAGCGCCTTCGCTTCGGAAAAGCTACGACGCATAGCACCATCCATGCCGCGCTTGACAGGCGGCTTGGTTTCGATCGCCGTTGATACAGATCAATCTTTCGTATCAGGAGTGTATGAGACACCGAGCTCATACTCTGTGAAGACATGAGTGTCTTCATGACGAGCGCCTGCATCACCAGGTGACACAGGCTGAGTCGCTTCAGCAACCGATGAGACATCAGTTGCTGCGTCCTCTGCTTCGGTGTCCGCACAGAGACGTGCGGACGCGCTCTCGGCGGCGATGCTCGCGCATCGCATGGGCTTGTTAACCATGCGATGAATTGTTGGAAAGTGGACTCGGACCAACAAGTGCAAAACCCGTCCCAAATGATTTGGGACGAGTATCCATTTAGTCAGTCAGTCACTAAAGTGACTGATGGTTGAGGGGGGGGGGTGATGTAACGGGTTGAATCGTCACATTACAATTTATAAGAAAGTGTTGATAGGATATAACTATAAGAGTTAAATTCTCACAATATTGTCATAAGGACAAATATTCTGCAGCACTTACGAGTAGTTCCTAATTGGTTGAGATAGGCCATTATATCAACCAACGAAGACACGCCACGACAGACGCACGCAATGAGTGGTGAGCAGATAATTGATATGCACATTTGTATTCAGACATAGTTAGATGAGGATAAATAGTGATTTATTAACAGACATTAACTATTATAAATACAGTTCTAATTTTTGCTTTGACCAAGTACTCGCTTCTTCTTACCGTTTTCCTCTGCACGTACGAGTGTACGTGAATCTCCGAGGCACCGCCTTATTCTGTCATCAGAATAAGTAGCTTGTACTGTCATCAGTACAAGCTTCAGGGTGCCCCGTTTACACTCATCCCCTATAATTGGATACAGCATCTTCATTAGCAATGCCACTTTTTCTGGTTCAGGTGTCCGCTGATATTGACAACACTCTAATGCTCAGTAATTCGAACAAGCGCCTCCTCCACCATCGTGTACGACACTGTACGCTTTCGCGTAAAATATAGGGCTACATCGCTCTTAAATGGACCTACTTGGTCTGCAGAAAGCTTCAGAACGTTGCTGATTTTCCCTTGGGTGGCAGTGACTCCATGCTTCTCCGGCATCCACCGACGCAGAGCTTCCTGCGCGTATCTGCTTCTTCACGTAAGACGCCTTGCGTAGGATGTCTGTAAGGATATGGCCATTAGCGACCATGTAGGAGGTAAAATGTGTAGCAACCTTCGCTTTGACATTTACCCCTTGAATCTGCTATATGTTAATTTCCCTATTTAATCAAAATTTGGCGGCCCCAGCCAAATTAAATGAGGGAGTCTCTACTATAATGACATTTTTGCTTCCCCGTAATAAGCGATTTTTATCCTCCTAAAATCGAAATGGCTTTTTCTAATGTTTTATGAATACACATCGCATTGCACATAGTCACACGCCGCGTATACGCCAATGCACGCATCGTTTAGAAGATGGGTATTACACCACTGGAAAAAGTAAGGTCCATGCATGTTTTCTTCAAGAATTCGCAACAATTACGATTAAAGAATTGCCACGTGAACATGGTCGATCAGTAAGCGTATTGTATAGGGTACATGTGTAATCGACCCGTTTAAAGCAGTTGATATGGGCTATTTCATACATATGTGTTTTTTGTGATCAGAAATCCTATTAACAAGGTTTTAATTATGTACAAGATGTCTGGTAAATGCACAGCCATGAGTTCAGATCCGGTGTTTCCGGCGGATGACCCTGGCTGTGCCCATGCAAGCCAGATGACCCTTTTGAACCCCGTTTGATCATCTCAATGCAGGCAAACAGCACAGCCGCCATAATGGCAGATGACTCGTTTCGGTGCTCTCAAGTTGCTATTGCACGTAGCTGGCAGGCGCAAGATGCTTAAAATCTCTGCGTGGCTGCGGAGAGTTCAGTAGCATCAGCTCTGTAGACGGCTTCGTTCCTGTCGGTCCACAGCTTTGTGTGACACAGTGTCGCTAGAATATGCCAAATTCTTTTCCAAACTCGTTCGGCCATTTTCTGATCGTCCTGGAAGTGGTGCTCTAGACTCATTGTCCGGAGATATGGTACGTTGTATACTTGTCGACTAGCATACGCATTTAAAAAATGCTGAGCTCGCTTTCTTGTTATTCGCTCATCTGCCCAATATCCCACTATTTTGTCCCATAGTGCATTAGCGTACGGGCACTCCCAGAATATACAAGCTGGTGTCTCCTTGCCCCCAGGCAGCCCGGTCGCTTCCGACAGTCGTTTTTCTCGGCTCTTGTAGCATGGTGGAGGGTAGGCTGCCTTCATACCATCCAATACCCAGTCCATACTTATAAATCAGCCAGATCATGGCTATGATCCCATGCTTGCCGAGGTGTTGAGTGAGCACTGCACGTTATTATGCATGCTTGGTTTTATATGCTTCCAAACGGTCCAGAAATAGCCTCAGAGGTCTAGCCGAGCCTAATTCGAAAAATTCAAAAGCTTGCCGTACCAGCGCAGCAAAGACGGACTTGATTGGTGTTAAGTCAGAGATCGACCACGGAAATCTGTGGAGCTGAGAGTGCGACTGAAAGGCGAAGCCACTGGCCTGGAATTCGAGTCGGACCGGCTGCTTGTCTGCCTTGTAAACACCTCGAGTATCGGAAGCGTCCCCATACATATTCAATGTATGCCATCTTCCTGCCGGGGCAGATTCTTTTGCTGTGTTGGATTGTGCGCACTGCCCAGTGGGTTGCCCACAATAACTCCACCGCCTTGGTAACTCCAGACGTACGGCGCAAGATCCGTTGGTCCCTGTCGGGGCCAAAGTGGTGGACACGTTCCCAGGCTCGATCCAATAGGTATATCTGGCGAAGAAAGAAGGAGAGCTGTAGCCCACCGCCGAAATTTTGCCACCGTATGGGATCGGGGATGGTGGGGAGGTCTGGATATCGTGATGACAAATTCCACTGGTCCAGTTTGTGAGACATTAAGTCTTGCCAGCATACAGACTTCGATTCTGTCGTATGCAGGTCTGGTCAACATGTCGCCGAGCCGATCCCGAATCCAGGGGTTCGCTGAACAGTTGGATGTGGACCAAAACCGCCTGATCTCCTCCGGCAAATGACCTGCACTGAGCCCGCGCGTTATGAATGGAGACTAGTAGAATACGACATATTCGTCTTCCTTCCCACCATCTGGCTGCGCTCCCCAGTAACCGCTATGATTATGCAACAACATGCGATGTGACACGTTCCACCTGGTCCGGTGTAGGGGCGAGCAATTCTCCTAGCGTCCGCTGAAATTCTCGCCCGGGAGTTCAAGTCATGTGATGAGGTTGTCGGCGTCCTCTCATCTTTGGCGGAACCGCAATCTCTGTTGCGTGTGACAGTCCACGGTATGCCCATTGACGCCATGCCGTAAAAAACCTGCCAGGACGTTGAGTTAACCGGAGAATCGCGTGCTTCGTTCGTTAATTCTTGACGGCGACTGACACATCGACTAGCCCGATGACCCCAGCTTTTGCGGGTGTCACGAGCAGACCCGGGATGCCTTTGTGCCGACTTTTATCCGTCGACGTAGCGTATAGCAATAAAAATTGCTTGTACTAATTGGTAAGTTCTGTCTTCACCCACTGAGGTATGTCGAAAACACTTGCTGTAAAACGCAATGAGGGTAGTATAAGTGTTATGGATAAGAACTCGATTTGCCATACTTGTCGCTACCTGTGATGCGGTGAGAAGACGACGCTAAATCTTTTATGTCCTTATCGCTAAATTTTTACCCACTAATTTTCCCGTTCTGACTTTATCAGCTAGTTATCGAGTTGCATCGCCTGGCGGTGTAATATCGATGCCCATGTACCTTTTTAAAAGCACTGACCGACTCAAATACATGATTTTGCTCTTGCCTGAATAAAGAAGCAAACCCGATAAAGCCCCAAAGGCGTTAAACAGTACTAAAAGCATGTAAAATCTGCTCTTCCTGCTCGAGGAAAAGTGTTAATTCATCAACAAATGCTGAAAATAAAAACCTATGCCCTGCACGACCCGGCGTTTGCAATTCTCTGAGCACTGGATCTTGCCTAAGTGCTAGACTTAGCATTTCCACCACGAGCAAAAATAGTAAGGGCGCGAGAGGGCAACCTTGTCGAATTCCGGACCGCACCGGTAAGGCTGAGTACTCGCACCTGTTCACCACAAAACTGACCGTCGTTCCGTGGTGTATGCGTCGTATGAGGTCTAAAAATCTTTTCTCGGAACTAAAGAGATGCAATGTTTTATACAGAAACTCATGGTCGACAGTACCGTAGGCCTTGCTCAAATCCAGAAGTATGATACATTTGCTCTGCTCGGTGGTCGTATCTTCCCAGTCTGCTGCTGTCATCAATTGAGCCATCAACATCACAACTGTGTTCCCCATTCGTCACCCATGTACAAAGCCCTGATGTGAGACGCTGGTAACTTTGGGCAGAAATTACTGTAGCCGGGTAGCCAGCACCTTCGCAAATACCTTGTAGCTTGCTTGTAATATCGAAATTGGTCTGTAATCCATGGCGTCTTCAGAGTCGCCTTTTTTCGGAGAGGAACGATGTTCGCCTCGAGAAAAGAGTGAGGTAGCTCTGCTCCAGCCATAATTTGGATTCCAATTTGCACCCGTCCCGGTACCATTAGCGCCGCGGTATCCTTATAAAAGTCGTTTTTAGGCCATACGGGTCGGCCGATTTATCACGCTTGAGCCCTGTTATAGCCAAAAGCACCTATGCTTTTTTAACGGTCACATCATGCACTCATCATCCGGAACTGTTATGCGTTGATCCGAATATATTTTCGCAAGTTTTAGCAGCTCTTCCGTAAGGGGGTTGTTAGACGGGATTCAGTGACTCCGATTCAAGACATGAGCCCATTCTGAGGCGAGTTGATTTGCCACCGATGCCCTGAGCGGAAATGTCGGTCCGTAACGCGCTTGGAGGGAATTGATGTGCTGGTTTCGTTCCCAGTTGGCGACCCGCTTGTAGCACCAGCGGAGGCGTTCCGTTGACCGCTCTAATGACTCTCCAAGACGCACTAAATAGGCCTCCCGCACCTTTTTCGGATTGGCTGACACCCACTGTCGACTTGTGACAAACTGCTGCCTGTTGCGCTTACAAAGTTTCGCCGGATAACGTTTTCGGCGCTGTTTTTCCTGTTTGCGTAATTTTTACTATTATAGTTTATGCTAGCTTGTATATGCGCTCCCCAGATCTGTATTGTGGGTGTCCTTTTGCACTTGGTCCGTCTGATTAGCTCC